CCAACACACAAAATGATGAAATTAGTGGTTCTTTCCTGCTTGGTGGCGTGCGCCATGGCCTACGCTCCAATTCTACCATACAGCGCATACCCATACGCGTATGGCGCTCCCTACGGATACAATGGTGCTTACGGCTTCGGGCCCCTCGCATACAGCGGTGCTTATCTGCAGCCTAGCAACTACCGTGGCCCTCTGTCCCTGGCTCCTGGCCAGCCCGCTGACACCCTTGGTGCTGACGGCAGGCCCCTGGACACATTGGAAGTCAACTTGGACCGCTCCGCTCACTTGACCGCCAAGGCCCTCGACAGCGGTCTCCATCTCTTGAAGAAGCGCTCCGTTGTGGCACCAGCAGTGGTGGCTCCCATCGCCCCCATCACCACCCCCCTGATCACTCCCGCCACCCCCATCACTTACGCCGCACCTATTGCCCCCGCTGCCGTCGCGTACGGCCCGACCTACACTCACTACTTGTAAAAAAATTACCTGTAACAATGATTAACATCGGCAATAAACTTATGAAGATTTACTTCATGTTTTTTTCTTACACCCCAACTATTATGTTCATGCAGTATTTTATGACAATTATCAGATAAGACGCAACACCCCCGAACGCTCATAACTTAATAAATTTGTAAGTATAAACTTGTAATACAATTTGACGTTGACTAATCATAATTGACCACAGTCAACTGTAACAAAATACTTTAGTAGTGAATTATAAGGTCGTCAACACCTGAAATAAAGTAAAACACAGCATATTCTCTTACTCCTTCACTATATTTCACCGTCTTCAGTTAAACCAATTAAGAGAAATTTAGAAATAATTGTAATTATAATGATATCTAGTATGTAATAAGTTGTGACATCACCCTCTGTGTTCTGAAACAAGGTAGGAATGAGTTAACTATTTAGAGAATTATGTAGAAAAAGTGGAATCAATAATAATAATAATAAATGAAATACGTCGCCAATAAATTAAATACGTTTAAATTTAGACTGATTATTAAATAGCTACGATCGCAGTTCTAAGATACTTAACGGTCCGAAATTTTATAGCTATCAAACAATAATTTCGAATGCTGGCAATATATATAAAATTGTTTTGAATTGGTATTGTAATTTGAGTTTTTTTAACGGACACCCCCGAATGGTTGGGTTTATAGATGTCAAAGCGGCGATCAAAAACAGATGACAGTTGTAAATTCATTTTGTTAATGAGCCAATTCCAGTCTACACATATGGCTTCATTTACTTTTTCCCCATATTAAATTTAGCTCTCCTTTTCACGTTCTTCTGTTTGCGGAATTTGTATAAATTAGTACAGAGTTTTTTGGCATTTATTATGATATTAGCTTTCGCCTGCAACTCCGTCAGCGCGGAATTAAAAAAAAGTGAGTAGCCTATGTGTTCTTCTAGACTATCCTCTACATCTACACCAAATTTCATACAAATCCGTTCAGCCTTAACGGCTACAAACTCTAACAAACATCCAACTATCCTTCATCAATCTAAACTTTCGCATTTATAATATAAGTAGAAGTATGATGACATGTAAAACACATTGAATTACTTGCTTGCTTGCTTTGCTTGCTTGCTCGTAGTAAATTAAGTAAATACTTTAGATATCAATTTTATTAAAATTGGTAAAGTCAGCAACTTTAGAATAAGTTTCATAATAAAATACTTAAATTATTTTTGAATTAACTGTATTTAAAAAAAAAATCTAAACAGAAGCTATTGTTACATACAGCATTAATACCTTCATTGTAAGTATTAAATAATAAACGAGATCTGCTTCGGCTGCAAGACATACAAAGCAAGACATGTACTAATATATTTGGAAAGCCTTATAGACAACTCCTAAGTGTCGTCCTAATATTGATCATATTAAGAATAATAGATGTAAAAGTGTGAAAGGTTATTAAAATAGGCTTCTGGCTATGTAAAAAAATCAATCATTTTTTTGTATACTCAAAGTATCAGTTCATGTTCAAGCTTCATGTATAAATGTGTACTGAGTTCTCACCCTTAATACCAGTTGTATTGTAGCAATATAGTTCCGCAAGCATAATTATCGTAAATAATTCACCACGGATGTTTGTATTACATTTCCTATACTATTACAGTTACCTACATTGACATTCAAACTAAACCCTGATCACTTATCGTACTTTTATTTCATATTTCAAAATGCCGATGTGTCGTCATGGTCAACATCTTTTGGAATGATTTAAAAAATAAATTTTACTTCACGTATAGAAACGAGCTAAATTAAGTGTATAACAATAAAGTAGAGGTGCTCAGGCTAATAACGAAGAGCTTCGACCAACACCTCAATATTCTCTCGCTAGACAGTTGGATTAAGAGCTCGATTCAAAAGACGGTTATTTTAGAAACCGCACGCATAGTGAGGAGGTTTCTGTCTCTGCAGCTCTGACCACTGGTTGCTTGAGTCATCGGATTCCGCAGCCGGTGGTGCTCGTTTTTTATATTTTATACAAATCTTGTAAAAAATATTACATAGTGAATAAGAAATAAATATATATGTGAATAAAAAAAAAGTTGAGAGTATTATAACATTTATTTTAGTTTGCGTTTATCATAATGTTGTAGTTTACAGGACGTGAGCGACGTGTGTGGCGGTGC